GAAAATCCATTAATATAGTAGACATCTTATAAGGTAGTTAAGAGCATGGACTTTGAATTTAGGTAAACCCGATTAAAATCCCAGCAATATCATTTACATGCTGTGTAATGTGGGGTATGTTGCTTAACATCTCTGTCCACAGGCACTTTTTGTAATAAAGTTTTGTAATAACTGACCTCACAGGCATTATGAAAAGAGTAAATGAAGCACTGTTTGACGCACTTGCACAGAAGTTTGGGATGCCACATTTTTAAAAAAAAATAATTACCTTCTAGAATCACATAGAAATCGCAAATTTAGTGGTGATCTCCAATCTCCCACTCTCAAGGGACTTCTTCAGAGATATGCACTTAGCATTTACTCTGTACACTATCAGTTAAGCAAATGTATACTTAGAAGTTAAAGGATTTGGGGTTAGGCACAGAAGCATTTTATAAATTGAAGACACTATTATATTATTAGACCACAAGTACAGTTTGATAGTTCACTCAGACATTTATAAGATTTGACTGAGCTCTAAATGCATTCTGCAGATCCAATCTACATCCATTTATAGCTAAGTGAGTACTTAGCTCACAATAACCCAGTATCTTCTGTCCCAGTCAAGAACAGATGGCCTCCTTTACAGCAGTTTCTCCTTGTTAGAATCATTTTGGACAATAGCTTTTGATTAATTTAACTGACTCATAATTCATGCATATATTAGTTTATACATGCAGTGAATAGATGTGCAATTGATACATAGGAGATATTGCCTAGGCCAATGCAAAAATGCTGAGTGGAAAAAAATAGCATAATATTTGTTCTCAAAAGAGACCAGACATAGAAGCAAAGAAAAAAATAAAAACAATATAAACAAAAAGTAATATTATAAAATAGAAAATACAAGGAAGGACCAAACTAGACATCATGGTAACAAATAAATGCCGAGCTTAGAGGAGGAATTGACATGAGCTGGAGTAATCAGGGGAGGCTTCATCTAAGCAGTGGCTGCTGAGCTGGGACTTAAAGGTTGGTGCAAGTTGAATCTGTGGAGATGAGGCTAAGTCAGAGAAGCACCATGATGTGAGCAAAATCAAAGGAGGACAGGATATGTGGGATGTTAGAGGCAATGAGTGGACCACAATTGGCCTAGTTGGCTGGTATACAATGACATGTAGGAAAGTATCAGGGGACAGGTTTGGAAAAATAAGTTCAAGTGGATGATTTTATTCTGCACGTACTGAGGAGTGTGGTGGATATTTGCTAGTTGACGCTAATACCCGCTTTCCCTCATTCTGTGGTCACAGATCTTCCTGCATGCGTGTGCAGAACAAAGAGGATTTGCAGCTCTTCCTAATAGCGTAGCCATGTGAATGGAAGCGACTCGTGCTTCTGGGTATGTCCTTAAAGGGAAAAGGAATGCCTCCTTCCCTTTTAACATTCCCCTTGGTCTAGCCTGTGGCCTGAAATGTGGAAGTAGAGTGTGCTACTTGGGACCATGTGAGCAAGGGAGACCCTTCAGAACAGCAGAGAAGCTGGAGAGAAGGAGCCTGTGTCCATGGCACCTAAGGCAGCCAGACTTTGGGCTACTCACATGTGTGTTTCATGAAATATAAATCCACTTCTATTTTGTTTAAGTCACTGTGTTTTGAGGTCTCTAATGTAGCAACCAAACCTGTGTGCTGAGCCATAATTTATTTGTAGTGCTCATAGCCAGGCCATGCCTAAGATGGCCAGTGGCCTCTGGCCTTCATTTACCCCAACATTCCATATAAATGATAAAACAAGATGTCCCTGGAAATGTTTGACTAAGGAAGTGACATGATAAGAATTTTACAAGAATTAATTTGAGTGACATTTAGCAGATCAGTGTTGCTCAGGGCATTGAGAAAGGATTGAAGGGTTTACAACAAAGAACCAAGGGGGAACTTCTTGAGGCAAAGAAAATGCTTTCTCTTGACTGGTTGTGGTTATATGAGTATATATGAGGGTACTTCAAAAAGTGCATGGAAAAAATATAATTGAAAGTTAATATGAATCTTTCCATGATCTTTTTCAAGTACCTTCATATATTTTTCAAAACTAATAAACTACATTTGAATTGGGTGTATAGTACCTCAGTAAAGCTGACTGAAGGACTTAATTTGCTCTGTGTGTGTGCACAAGATAGATCAACAGGAGGAGACAGGGGGTGGGGAGAAGAGAGGAATTCATGGCTTCAGTCAAAGCTTTAGATAATTTGGGCTTTTTCTGAAGAAAATAATAGGAGGAATGGAATTAGATTGACAAGAGCATCATTTTGAAGGAAGAAGTAATAGAATTTGGAGACCAGCTGGGCCTGTAGATATGGATTCCCATGTAGAGGAATTCGGCTTTTCTACGTAGGGAATCAGCTGAGCCTCACCACAGGTGGACAAGACACGGGTCACCAAGTGGAGAGGCCACAGGTGCAGCGCTGTCATGTACAGGTAAGTATATGTACTTGGGTCTCTTTGCATCCCTCCTCTTCATGTATAAAATGGCACTAATGATGTCCACAAATTACAAAAGAGTTGTGAAGAGCAGAGAAAATGTGTGTGAAACACCTCGCATGGTGTGCCTGGCACCTAGTAGACACCCATGAAAGCATGAGGTAAAGAATGATTGCAGTTAATATATCAAAGCAGAAAATAAACAAGCTCTCAAGATGGTATCAAAGATTCTCTCATATATGTCTCTAGGATATGCTTCGATGTGACAAAATAAGAACTCAGCTCACAGGAAAAATGAACCCACTTGTAAATGGCAGGATGATAACAGGAAGGGGGTTGGGTGAAGCAACTGAGCAGTAGGCAGTATCTTTTAAAAAGGGGGACACAGAAAATTCAGGTGTGTATTCATGTCTTGTTTCTTTACCTCCCTTGACTCAGTGCAGGAGTAAGAGTTCACACAAAAAGAAGCTGCGTAGCATCCTGCTTAAGATTCTTCTCATATAGCATTTGGTTCTCAGCCCATTTTCTGTCAGGCTTCCTGAGATGGGAAAGCAATGCATAAAATTTCTCAGGCTCGACAGTGAATTCTCCTGAGCTCCAGACTGGAATTTACAGCTGCCTGTAGACATCTCCATCTGCATGTCCTGCAGGCATCTCCAACTCGGTATGTCCCAAACCAAATTAATTACTCTCCCACACACCCGGTCTCCTCCAGTCTTCTATCTAGGTTAATGCCACTGCCAATTTACCAGGCACAAAATCTAGAATTTCAGTTCTTTTACTTCTTGTCCCACATGCCCCAAGGTCAATTTGCTGCCAATTTTTGTAGATTCACCCTGTTATAATCTGTTTTACACACTGTTTTCTGACTTCTATTGTCCTAGTGAGGATCTTTGTCTCTCTCCAAGAACATAGCAATAGCAATCTATCCAGTCTCCTGCCAGGGTCTGCAGGGTTGTACGACTCCAGCGTGTTCCATTTACAGAGGCTGTGGTAAATGATGCCTCCCCAGCCCCACACCAGGAGTCGTGTGATGGGTGTACCTGTCTCCCTGCCCCCACCTTCTCACTTGGCAAGTCCAGTAAAGTTTCTGAAACATGCATCACTTCTCTTTCTGAAAACACTTCATGACTCTCCAAATGGCCAACAGAATAAAGCCCCCAAACCCAAAGTTCACCCATTTTTCTTTCCCATGGTATCTCTTCAAGCATTCTATGCTGTCTGACCACACTGAATTGCAGGTTATGCCTCTAAAATGTACACTTTTAACTTCAGAGTCATGGCTCATGGAATAATTCTCTATGAGCCAGCTAAGCCCTGTTCCTCCTTCCTGATTCAGCTTGAAGGCCATTTCCTTGGTGTAGCTGCCTTAATTCCACTCTCCTCCGTTTCTTACTCCTTTATGCAGGGTGCTACTCACTGCGTATTCCTGTAGGTATTTTTCCTGCGGTTAGCACGGTTTCTCTAACCCAGATCATACAGTGCTTATGAACAGACATCAACTCTTATTGCCATCTCTAAGTCTCTAGGGCACTTTGAATTGAATTGACTGTTAACCAGTCTAAAAATCATCTTCTTAAATTTTTACTTAACACCTGGTGACTTTTACCAAAGAAAGCTTTTAAAAATTCCTAAAGAAACAGTTAAATTTGTTTGTAATATATCCAAACTGTGAACTCCCATAGCTTTCTTGCATTGAATACACTTTTTAATGTCCCTTGCAGTTTTATTATTCCAGGTGCACCGTTACCATAAGAGGCCTTTGTGGACCACTGCTATAAACGTCATTTGTTCCCATTAAGCAAGTATATTACATATAAAATGATTGTCTAAATTTATGTTGACTGTTCTAGAGGGTAGTAAACTGGTAATACATCAAAATATCTGAAGTCTAAAAATGTAGAAACCAACTTTTATTTTATAATTTGAAGACTTTTTTTTAATTGAGTTCAACATGATATATGCTTCTTTCTATGACTGTGAGACACATCAAAAGGGAATCAGCCAAATTTGACCATTCATTATCCAAATAATTCAAATAAAACTCAGAGCTCATAGCTGTCTCCGTTACTTGGGTATTCAGGTGAAATTATGGGGAGTTGGGATGTTGAGGAAATTATAAAGAGGGATGCTTTTGGTTCTGATTAAGCAAGTAATTTACTCAGTTTTCATTTAAATCTATGAAAGACTTTAAACCTGGAAGTTAATTTCAAATATTAGATTCATTAATCTCAAGTTCTTTTAAAAATTAGTAATAGCTATGAAAACTGAGATACGAAAACAGAGAAATAAATTAACATAAATAGGCATATATTTATGTTATAGCAAACAACTATATTATTTATCATTTATCTAAAAAACATACTTAAAAATAAACAGGTGTCTTTTTGGCTCTTCTCAATGAAGTTACATACTTCTATAAATTAGTTCGAGAGTTTGGAAACCATGCTTAATACTTTATTCAATCATTCCTTCTCATATTTTTCTCCCCTTGCTAATCTTCTCAAGTAGTAAAAGTGCTTGTAATGTATAATAAATACGCACAAATTATTACTCTCTAGAAAATATTTATTGACACTTGTTTTAATTTTCTTTCCACATTGCAAGAAATAAACATCATACATAAAATACAGTAAAATGCACTTTTCCCATTTCAAATAAATATATTTTACTCGTAAAAAATTTAATAATCTGTGTAATTCACCATAGTATATTATCAGTGAAATAAAGCAAAGATAATCTCTAGTTAAGTTGTCACTTATTTTAATGATTCTCACAAGCATTTTTCTGGAGAAAAAGAACACTATTCTCTGTAGAATTATATTGATTTGGAGTCTGTTACTTCTTGTTTGGAGAAAGCAAAAATAAGCTCTTCTAAAAAGGGTTCAGTGTCAAAAAGATTCTTAGTTTGGGAGAAAAATAGCATCCAACTCTTTGCTGCGTCAACTAAGTTATGTGTATATTTTCTTGTTAATACTTCCTAGAGACCAGACTACATTCTGAATTATAATGATTCATGTGTATCACACTGGTAATTTTTAAAATTAGTGGTTAAGTATTTAAATTAACAGTCACGTATGTAATAAACCCAAGACAGAATTTTAAAGCTCCATTAACAGAAAAGGCTAAAAATAATGGTGCTATACATGACAATTTATCCTTTTCACAATTGTTATTCTTAACTACAATAAAAGAACAGAAATCTACTAAATTATACAGACTTATCACAGACTTATATACACATAGATCCCTGATTAGTTTAAGACAATGTGTGTTAGTTTGCTCTCATAATGGCATGAATATTTTAGTAACCAACAAAAATCATATTAGGTAGTCACCAGTCTTGAAAGTTTTCTTATGTATAATCTATTCACCCTCAAAAGAATATGTCACCAAGTAATAAAAGCCATTAGTATTGTCTAAATTCCTATGTTAGCAGTTAATTGGTATTTTATATACTAGCTGGTAGAAGTGTATCAACCTTTACTGTAGCTCCAATCCCACCACATGTGGCTCACTTACATGGGTGCAGAAATGCTGATCAAACCATGCCACCTCAAAACACAACTGTGTTCAGTAAAAATCTTACATGACTATAAGGTGGGTATTACATCTGTCCTCAGCATTATAAAGGGCATCATTTATTGTCCTGGTGGAGACTTATAATATGAAACTTTTCCTTCACTGTTAAAGGGTAGAAAATTATATGCCTAGGCATTCTTTTATGCTGATATTTTTATTTCTACAATTTTTGGAACAGGTAAGTGTGTACTGAAAAATTCACAAGTTGAATAAAACAAGTTTGTGGCTTTCTTCCTTGACATTCTTTATAATTCTTCCATCTCAAAGTGTGTATTAAAGCTGTTTGCCATGGTTGTGTGTTCAAAGATCCTTGATAGGCTTGGTTTCAACAGTTCTACTGAGTGACATGACAGGTGCTGAGAGGCGTCATTCTTCAGAGACATCATTTGGTCTGTCCCAGGCTCCCTTCTATCATAATACAGAGCCCAGAGCAGAGTAATTGTAAGAATCATGGCCAGGATTTGTGTCACACCAATGGAGATTCCCAGAAACCTTAGCACCTGAAGTTGTTTGGTTCCTCTCAAAAAGGAATACATTTTCTTCCCACAACCCTGTAAAAGAAAGAATACAGTCAATGATACTCTGGATAGGTTGCTGAGGGTCAAAAATAGTGAAAACAAACAATCTGTATCAGTTAATGGAACTCAACTATTTGAATTATAAAGTTTGAGATAGTGACTCTCAACAGGGAAAGCCACTGAGAAGATGGAGAGAGGGTTTGTACCTTTTGAAAAGACTGTCTTGGTGATTCTGATGAACCTACCCTTCGGTTGTCTTCCCCACACCTGAAATTGAGACCCACTGGTATAAACCCAACATCTACAGCAGGGGTTGACAAACCTTTTTTATTTTTTTTGGAAAGGGCCAAATAGTAAATATTTTAGGCTTTGTGGACAATATAGTCTCTACTGCAACTACTCACCCCTGCCACTGCAACATGAAAGCAGCCATAGGCAATATGTAAATAAATGGATGTGGCTGTGTTCCGACAAAGCTTCATGCACAAAACAGAAGGTACCAGGCCAGATTTGGCCCACAGGCCAGGGATTGCTACCCTCTGATCTAGACCAATCCAAAAATTTTCAAAAACAATGTTTTATTGTTATTATTTGTGTTCACTGTTGGATTATAGATCATTTGTTCAGAGACTTTTCTCCAAGGATTAGGAAAGTGTTCCCTAGTTTGATGCTGAAACATGCTGGTGGGTGGAAATCAACCTATACCCACCCCCATTCCCCCCACCCACACACACCTCTGTCTACTGCCCATAGCACAATTACACCTGGAGGAGTTGTCGGCATGACTCAACTTCTAGTTCTACCAGTTAAGGGTCTGAAAGGTATCTTTAGCTCCTCTACAGACTAGAGACACCTCACTTAAGGAAAAATTAGCAAGATTTTTGTTGATGTTTATTTTTCAGTAGAAAAGTCTAAGGACTGCCTGTGGCAGATATAGAAAAGAATTCTGAAAGAAGAAAAGAGAAGGAAAAAAGTAGGAGAAGGAAAAGTCATGACCAAAAAAACATGGGGGGGGGGAGACAAGGAAAATGAGGTAGAATGTAACTAACAATCATCATAAGACACCTTCTCAGGTGATCAAAACATATGCTACCTGCTTCATCTCTAGTGAGCCCACAGCAAAGAAATGATAATTCACTCTTCGAAAGGGAATCTGATTCTAATTTAATTTGAAAAATCTAAGAAAGCATTTTATAACTATAACAAATTTCAAAAACCTTGAAGATTCTGAGATTTTACTCTATTTGGAAGCTAACAAATTAGCCGGCCACAGTTCGTGGATGCTGGCAGAAGACAGAGACAAAGGACTTTATTACCCATAGCAATAGTCACCACCAGAACAGATGCCAGTTCCTCAAGTTCAAGGGCAACATCAAGAAGGCCAGATGAAGGCTGCACACATGGTGGATTGTACTATGGGAGAGAATTCCCAAGCTGAGGGAACCCTAATCTCCAATAATGGATAGTAAGCATACCTGTCCTTCACCTTGGAGAGAAGCACTATCTTTATTACACTGGACAGTAAGTAAACCTGCCCTCTTCTATGAAGGGAGAGACTATCTCTATTTTCAAGGCTGTTTTCTACACATACATCCTTAAAAAATAGTCCAGAACAAAGGCATCCAGTGCCTCTGCTTACAAGACATGCAGAAATGCCAGACAGCCATGGAAAATTATCTCCCAACAACAAGAAATTGACTTTCAAAGCTTTTATTCTGAATTTTGGGTAAAAGTGACTCAGCACTTATACTATGGAGGCAGCTACTAAATAAAAAGAAATTCAAAATTATTTAAATAATTGCCTCCTTTATTTTCTTCTCCAGATTCCATAAAAAACTCAACAAAGCCAAAGAAAACAAGACTACTGAATCAATTGTTAATTTGTGTTTTACATTGGAGGGGAGGAATGAATAATACATAATTCTCACATTTCCAAAGACATTGATGCATTTTAACAACTGTCTTTTTCTGGTACACTATGTGATGAAAATTAACAACAAAAGATTAGCAAAGGTTCAATTTCACTAAAAGAGCAATTTAAAATATTTATAATTTAATAATAACATTGGCTGAATAAGGTCACTTCTCTGGCCATCCATCTTATACATACACAGAAATATATAAACACACAAACGTATACATACATTCTGTGAGAAACCAAAATAGATGTCACAAAGACAGTTCACCAAAGTTCAAGTACTTTTCATAAAGTTCCAGTACTGTATCCTGTCAGAGTCCATTCACACTTAGTTTATGTGTGATCCTAACAAGTATCTCTATATGATACAATGTAATATAATGTTTAAGACCATGAACCCCAGAGCTAGCAGTCCAAAAGCTAATCCTTGCTCTGCTACTTATAAGCTATGTGACTTTGGGCAATTAACTTAATTTCTCTGTGCTCAGTTTTCTCATCTGAAAACATAGATAGTCCCTACCTCTTTGGAATGTTGGGAAGATTAAATGAACACATTTCACCACTTACAATGAAGTCTAGTACACGGTAAGAGCTCAGCATGTACCAGTGCTTATCTGGTGGGGCAGCCCACAAATCCGAAAGCTCGAATTAAAAACAGATGGGAAGTTTATGACCAGCAGATAATAGAAAAATATGAGGTACACTACTTCATAAAAGAATATGAAAACACCAAAAAGTACAGCATTGTGTCACTGTTGAGTATTGATGTGACAGTCCTTGCTTACAGGAGCCAAGGCAGCCATTACTGCTCTTCAGGATAATGAAGTAATTACCCAAATTGATTATTTGCCACTGAGTCATTAGATCACTAGCCTCCTGATTAAACAGAGGAGTATTTAACATAGTTTGCTAAGAGTCACCTCAAAAATAGATCAAAAAGTTTGTCTTCAGACTTCTGGAAAATTAATTTACATGGACACTTAATTTAACATCTTTGCCAAGGAATGTGGTGTCATAGCCTCATATCTCTCTTTGAAGAAATTGATATAAAACAGCCTTGGATTATGTTGAGCTGGTTCCTTACCTGTGTTCTCAGTGCTTAGAACAAAGATGTCTTTAAATTAATAAAAAAAGAATTAGCATGGACATAACAATATTTGGGCAATAATAATTACAATAAAGTTTGGGATTAAAGGTAAACCATTAAAAGACGCAAAATTTCAGTTAGATAAAAAGAATAAGTCCAAGAGATCTATTGTATAACATGGTGACTACAGTTAATAACTATGTATATATTTTAAAAAGTAAACCATTTAAGAAAAGCATGTGCTGATGATTCAACCCTGTGAAAACTACCAGTCAACTATTGCATTTTTACCTTTTCAATAGTCTCTAGGGCTTAAATTTTACCTATCTAGTTCTTTTTATTATTGGTATAAGATCTCTTACCCCTTTAGACTAATTCATTTGAAGCTGAAAAACTGTGCAGGAAAGGTAATATTTCTTTTTTAAAATCTGTGAATAAAACAAAGCAAAAACTGATAACTAAGCACAGTCTACTGCATTTCATGTTTTGGCACTGTGGAATGTCTGTTTCAGTTATTTTGTTTTGTTTTGTTTTTAGGGGGTTTTTTTTGGCAGCTGGCCAGCAAGGGGATCTGAACCCTTGACCTTGGTGTTATCAACACCATGTTCTAATGAAGTGAGCTAACCCCAACGAGCCTCTGTTTCAGTTTTACCTTAGACGGTCACATTTATTTTTAAAATGGTACATTAAATTATATCATTGAGGATGGTTTGGGAATAAGATCTACTAGTTAACATTGAATGTTCTAGAATGGGAGGGGACTTTCTAAGTCAATGAGTTCAACTTTTTATCTTTTAAAAATATGGCTTAAAAAGTAGTAGTAACATCAGCACAACTGGCATGGTAAGGACCTCTGAATAGTCTTTCCTCTACATGGGCAATAAAAGCATTAGCAAAAATTTTTTTCGGAACCAAAGACTAAAAGCAATCAGAGGAGCTGAGAAAAGCACCTGAATCTCAGTCAGAACAGCAAGCTCTGTGGTATTTTAAGTTGTCCTATTCCCATGCCCTGCATCTACCCCTTCAAGCTCTGCAGTAGCCTTGAAAACCAACTTCTGCAATCATGGTGAAAACCAGCAGCCCAGCAGCCACCAGAAGGAGCAGAATGGGACTGGAGCTTCTTCAAAGCCCCATTCCCAGAGAATTGTCATTATTTGTCTGGTCTGGTGGTTCTCTGGAAGACCTCACTTACAAGGCTGTTTTTAGTTGACCTGACTTGGAGCTCAACCAGGGGAACAGCTTTTTCCCCTTGGGGAGTTTACTAAAGGCAGTCAGAGGCAAATGCTGAACCCACAGGCTGTCTTCGGCAGTGGGTAACGGTTGTACACAATGGGATAACTGAAAAGCTTAAAAGGAAAAGCTGAGAAATGAGAAGTCCACAGAGATCTTGGCAAAGCTCTGACATGTTAATGGGAATCTAGAAAATTACACATGTGAATAGGGCTGTGCTCATGTGCATATGCCCAGGAAGAAGACCCTAAGATCTCACCTCTGGCTAACCTTGAAGCACTGTGCAACTGTAGCAAGGGCTGGAAGACTTAATGGTTCTAAGCATCTAAGGAAATCTCTATCCATTTATTAACTGACCACTGAGATAACTGAGCAGAGACCTCAGTGGCCACAGATGACAAAGAATACAGACTTGGCAGAATTAGTTTAGAAAAATTATCAAACTAACAAATAAAGAACAACAAATAACAACAAACTTTGGAGAGCAGGGAGAATCTGTTTTCCAGAGTTGCCACATTACATTATTTTAAATGTCCAGTTCTTGAAATAAAGAAGAAAAGAAAATTATAAGACATGCAAAGAAACAAGAAAGTACAGCTCATGCACAGGAAGAAAAGCAATCAATGAAATTGCACTTCTAATAAGAGGCGCTCCCTACCTCACTAGACAGCCCTGTCCACACTGGAACAACACTAATTCTTAACAAGTATTTCCTTGTTGGAACCTACCTTCTTAACAAGGATGCTCTGGTTCTGGCTCTGCTCTCAGCCCTTCCCTTTGCCATAAAATAGAGAGTCT